AATTTGTCCAGTTCAGCGTCAATCTTGCTCTTAAGAGCAAATGGTACTCTCCTAGGCTTAACCCTGATGGGCTGTACCGTTGGATCCAACTTAAGTGAGACAGGAGGTCCTGTGTAGGACCCAAGTTCAGAACTGAACACATCTGCAAACTCCTTGCATACGTCAGCAAGGGTCTGTGTTTGCAATTTATTTAGCCCTGCTACCTGAATTCCCAAGGCCTCAAACCAATCGAGTCCAATGAGACTCGTTCGCTCACCCCCCACAACCAACACGTCTAGGGGGCCTGCAAAATTCTTGTACTGTACCTTAAGGGTGGCCTCCCCCTTAACACACACTTTAGAATTTTGGAAATCCGTAAGGATCACATTAGAGGGCCTTATCGAAACTCTCTGGCCACTGCTGCTGCAGATTTTGTGAAATGTGTTGAGGGAAATTATGGATAGGGCAGACCCCGTGTCAAGTTCCATCGATAATGGAATTCCCTGCAATTTCACTTTAAGTGTTAGCTTCTTTTTAAGGGGTTTGTGTGTGCCAATTCTTAGAATGTTCCGGCGTGTTGCACAGAACCCCACCCTCTTTTGGCTGGGCATCCTGGTACCTTTCAGAATCAATTCTTCCTTCGGTTGTACCTTCTGTCGACCCAGGCAGACCGCAGCGATGTGGCCCTTCTTTCCGCACGCACGGCAGATGGCGGAACGGAACCGACATTCCGCTCGCTTGTGGCGTCCACCGCATCCGAGACAACGAAGCTCAGCTAGGCCCTTGTCCAGACGATCCTTGGACCTTCTTCCAGCTGCTTGGTAAAGCTTGTCCACCTCTTCTTCAGGATTTTCATCCGAATCCTCGCGCACGTCTTCCTTGTGAATAGTGGCGGTCTCTGGAGCGTTTCGCTTAGGCCTCATGTTTTTGACCGCCTCGCCGGCAGCTTCCTCGGCCGAAACTTCTCGCAGAGCATCTTGGAAGGAGACACTTTCCTTAGCGAACAGTCTCTGCTGCAATTCTGTGTTTCTCAATCCGCATACAAAACGATCACGCAGTCGTTCCTCTAAGTCCTTGAAGTCGCACGGTTGAGCTGCTCTTCTCAAGGCCGCAACGTAGTCTTTTGCTGATTCTCCCACTCGCTGATCTCTTTGTTGAAACGTGTGTCTCCAAGCCATAACAGACTGCTTGGGCTGAAAGTGTTCCTTTAAAGTTTTCTTGAGGTCGGCGTATGATACCGTTTCCAGCGAGTCTGGGGCGATTAAGCTCTCGGCAATCTCAAAGGCGTCTTGCCCACAAACGCACAACAATGTGGCAGCCTTTAAGCCTTCCTCCCGAATCTGGTTTATGCGGAAATACGTCTCGACTCTTGCCACGTAAGATTCCCACCTCTCGGGGTGAGAGACGTCGAATTCCGATAAACGCCCAACTTTTGCCATGATCGAGGATCAGGTTTTCTTCTTTTCAGCCGCACGCACCCTCCAGCGATTTCGTACTGGCAGGATAACGCTGACTTCCACGCCGTTTCTCTTCCGGACTTCTTTGGGTGAGTCTTCTAGCTTTTCTTAGCTGTAGAGACACTTAGGGTGGAAGCAGCGGTCACAATTCAGGCCTCTTTATACCGCGAACTCTGCTTCGTAAGAGGTTGTTCAGAAATAACATTGCTCCATTCTACGAACAACCCGAGCAGAGGCACGCAGGCCTCTATTTATACCCTCTGATCCCCGGGCAAGTTTAACCAATCATGAGGCGGGCTTTTCCCGCCTTGCGCATGCGCAAAAGGCTGGCGCCGCTCAGTCTGGTCCCGGGCAGCTTCTGCAAATGCCCGGGACTCTTGCAACGTCCCGAGCCTGCCTCTTGCAGGCTCAGGACACAACAAATATAGTCTATCATTCTGACACAATTTTCTAAACCAAATTGAAAGGAGTAGAAGGAACATATATGTGAGACATATCACTTCCAGGAGTAAAGTAACTATTTTTTCTGAAATATTATTGAAGATATTTGTCTCAGGTTTTTACAATCTAATATACAGATATACTGTAGAAGAGTTGGAGAAATGAAGTAAAATAAGCAAAATAGTTTTGTTTCAAAATTATTCCAACAGAAAAATGGAAATTATTTAACAGATTATTCTGTACTTTTTTCTTCTTTTAGTAGTTTGTATTAACTTTTATATGCATAAGTATAATACTTGATAAAAGTTATTAAAAAATAAATAAAGATTCCTTCCTTCCACCATCACAAATATACAGTAAATACAAAAACATATACACACATGACTAGAAAATCCACAGAGAGTTAAACCTAATGGAAACATTTGTATTCCTGTTTCAGCTGAAGACCTTTACAGATGAAGTAGGTACTAATAAAATTATACCCATTTGAAAAATACATATGGAATTGTTATATTTAAGTACTTCGACATTTTAGAAAAGTATATACACTTTCCTTGCATTTGCTTTAAAAAATCAAATTCACTTTCTGTGATGGGATGGTAGTATATTTTTAATTTCAAAATGACATAATATTCTATAGTATGATGCAATTTCAAAGTACTCAACTCAGCAAGAAATGGAAAATGCCCCAGCAACAAGAAAATAAAAATGTAGTCTTAGCAGATAAACATAGTACTAGACTAGCCACAGAAGTTATTTATATGTCTGAATTAACCGATGCTTGATATACAATCTCATTCTAAAAAGGCAAAGCTAAGCAATGCTTAAGGTAGCATACCTTAAATACAAGATCAGTAAGTACAAGATCAGTACATTTGTTCTTCCTTTCATCTAATGATCTGTAATGTTTGTTTGGCAATGCTAATCCATTTTAAATAATGAAGTAAACATAATTGTGTGATATTAAATAGATAGCTGAAAGCATGACTGCTCAGGGCACAGTATATTCCCCTTTATTCAAAGATCATGCCCAGCTGTTTGCTCTGTAATAGGAAAGATCTTCCAGTATGTAACAGGTCTCTCTTGCTTGCCATAATAATAGAGAGATATGCTTAAGAAACCAATAACCAATGGAAAAGAATGCCTCTCTCATTTACAAATGTGCTTCAACCTTTCAAAATTTATAACTAAGAGCATACAGAGCATATAAAAGGTTGGGCAGAAGTTACTCCTGCTTTTCCCCTAACACATTTGCCAATGCACTAAAACTCAAGATCAAACAATTTTGACCAAAGGTATTTCACATGTATCAAAGACCAAAAAATAAGTGCAGATCATGGAAAATCAAACAGAAGCCCCTCCTGGGAATAGAACAATTGTTGCAGCATCAATAAATAGCATCAAGATATGGAAAATTATGTATTGATTAAAAAATTGGACTAGATTTTAATTACTCTATGAGAACAATTCAGGAATATTTAAATCAAGATATGTATTACTTTTTCTAAATATATTCCTCCTCCTTTAAAGAACTTCAAATACTGTATGAAATCTAAATATAGTTTTAAAATCCTTGCATAATGATTTCATACACTACTGGAAATTTTCTAAAACTCTATTTAAAACTTTATTTTATTATTTGCATGGAAAAGCCTTTTTTGTACATCTAGTTTCATTTTTTTAAAAGATAACCTGTTCTCCCCCATTCTTGATTATTTACTTAACTGTATTGACTTCACTGTTTATCATCCAAATGAGGGAGACAAAGGAGGAACCAACCTACTCTTTATAATATTACATATTCCCTTTTTACAACCCTGTAGTCCCTTAATTTGGGGTAGGGTCAGAATGACTGGATGGAGTCGAGCGTTTGCTCGCTGGATGCCCTTCCTGATGCCTATGCGGAGTTCGCAGCAGATATTTTTTCTTTGCACCCTAGGACAGAAACATCTGCTGCTACCTAGGATTGAACTCTCAACTTTCTGAGTGGGAGGCAAGCACCTTCACCACTAGGCCACTATGCTGCTCTCTTTACAATATTATATATGGTATACAAAAATTATAGAAGTAAACTGCAGTCATTACTTAGAATAGACTTGAACAAAACTGTACTATAAAATATGTAAAGATTACTCTTCAGACCTTAATAATATGACTAGATCAGATAAAGTAATTTGCAATCAACTTAACATAAAATATATTTAAGACTTAAAACAAAATGTATTTGCTTGAAAATAATTACAATTTTTTTAAAATCAAGAATCATTAAAATATTTTTTCTTGTTTCATTTGTCCAGCTGTGAAAATGAAGATCAAATAACAACAAAAAATTCAAAGAACTTATCCCTTCTTTCTTTTTCCAGATACAGGCATCAAATTGTTATTTCATTTGTGTGAATAATTCATTGTGCATTTATTCTTTATGGCCTACTATTCAAAAATTATTTTCAATTTTTCACTGAGATTAACAATGTGTAGCAGGTTGCTGTGAGAACATTTAATAGTGTCTTTTGAAATAATTTCTTAGAAATTGAGAGATGTAGATAACAGCCCTCTCTACTTTTTCAAAACTCAACAAACAAGAATACATAGAAAGTTATGATGGGAAACAAATCCCACAACATTCCATACAGATTTCTAAACAGTCTGCTGATTCACAACAGGCATCCATAATGCCACAGTCCATGTCACACGGGCAGTTGCAGTCATCTTCCATTTCTTCCCCACAGCAGCAGGCCACCCCTGAGCAGATTCCGCATGAGGTTTGTTCCAAAATGAGGCCACAGAGGGTGACGAATTCACAGAACAAGCAGGCCAAAATACAATGCACACAGCAATCTTGAGAAAGTAGACAGGGAGGGAAGGAATAAAGAAAAGAACAGAAATTTCATACTACATTCTGAATTACCATTCTGGAGAAAACAAAACACCTTAAGAATAAACAAAACCATCTTCATTTTTTCCTCATTACATCATTTGCATGCATAATATGAGAAGCACTTTTGCATGCCAGCTCACCTTCCTTTCAATAGTCTACTCATGAAGAAGAATGACCCCACTCTTAGTTAAAACCTTTTTTTTGGATTGCTTTTGCTGATTAAGATATGCCTATATTGATTAATTTGGTTTCATTATATTATGTTTTATATTGGGTTAGATTTTGTATACCCTAAAACCTCCAGAACGAAGTAATTCATGAAGCAAATAAATAGAAATGAATCAATAAATAAATGTTACAAAAAGATTTCAGAGGCTTAACAGTAAAGCTCAGAGGCACGGAAGACATAAAATTAAGTTCCTAAGGAACATGTTGTATCACCAAATTCATATCATCTTATCATTTTGGACATGCCAGGTATTCGTTCTCCATAAGAGGAACAATGATAGTTGTTATTTCAAATAATCTTTCCCAATCAGTCCCCTTTTATTTTGCAATTTTTGGCTTTATTACTGCACTTATCCCTCTTGCTTCAAGACTACTCTATATGATGCATGGCCTTAATCCATCTGCAACACCAAAATAAAAAAAAGCCAATTTTCTTTCATGCTAAGAAAGAAATGCTAGCTATTTAGTCTGTCATTTATAAATGAACTGGGTACAGGTAGTCCTCACTTACAACATTTAATTTAGTGACCTTTCAAAGTTATAACAGCACTGAAAGAAGTGACTTATGACTGTTTTTCACACTTATGACAGCATCCCCACAGTCATGTGATCAAAATTCAGACACTTGGCAACTGACTCATTTTTATGATGGTTGCAGTGTCCTGGGGTCATGTGATTCCCTTCTGTGACCTTCGGACAAACAAAGTCAATGAGAAAGCCAGATTCACTTAACAATTGTGTTACTAACTTAACAACTGTAATGATTCACTTAACAACTGTGGCAAGAAAGGTTGTAAAATGGGCCAAAGTTTATTTAACAACTGTCTTGCTTAGCAACAGAAATGTTGGACTCAGTTGTGATCATAAGTCAAGGACTACTTGTAATGCAAAAAAATGTTGGGAGAGATGCATATTTAATTCATCCACAATCAAAAGAAATAAGCCATTGGCGTTACATAAGCATTTTTGTTTAAATATTGTTAGTTTATCTGTTAGCTTATTTTTATAAATAATGGACAGTGATATGACAAATAGAAAATGTTCACTGGTAACAAAACAGGAAAGAAAAACCAGCCAGTAAGAAGAATGCTTACATATATTAAATGGTGTTTTTCATGAAGAATAAGCATATCTACAAGTGACCTTCATCCAGTGCTTAGCAGATACGACACATGAAATGAAGCAGGGGAGTACAAGTTCAGTGAAGAGGACCAAAGCCAGATTGATGGGGATTAATTAGACTGTTGTCATGGAGACCCTACTTGAATAAAACTAACAATTTCCTCTCTGGTTTTTTAAAAATAATGTAAATGAGGAATAGTTAAGAAGCAATAGGTGTCTGAGTATTGATAATTCAAGATTAGCTTAACTTTTTTTCTCTACCTTGACAATGAACACCAAATAAAGAAGGAAAAGAAAGAAAAGTTTCCAAATTACAACAAATTATAACTACCACTAAACAAAATGAAATGGCCATGCAATTAATGGCAATGACACTACATGCAGAGTAAAGATTGTGAAAATAAAACAAATAATCATAATTGTCATCATCTAGTATTTTAATTTGTTAGAGCCACTACATTCCAAAATTGTAGCATACAACATCCAGAATAAAATTTAAAACTATTAGTAACATAACAGAACATAACGATACCAACAAAAACAGCCATTACGATAAAATACATGCACAGCACTAACACATTAGCTCAGGTGCAGGACAATTATTGTGGCACAAAAATAATACCAAAACACAGGTAATCCTCAACTTACAACCATTTGTTTAATAATCATTCAAAGTTACAATGGCACTGAAAAAAGTGACTTATGTCTGTTTTTCACACTTATGACCATTGCAGCATCCCAGCTGCAGTATCCCCGTGGTAAAAATTTGATCATGATCAACATTTGGCTGTTTGGCAATTGGCATATATTACCGTATGTCCTAGGTATGTGATCATCTTTTGTGATTTTTTTTTTTTGAAAAATTCAATTGGGAAGCTAGATTCACTTAACAACCGTGTTACTAACTTAACAACTTCAGTGATTCACTTAACAACTGTGGCAAGAAAGGTAATAAAATGGGGCAAAATTCACTTAAAATTATCTTGCTTAACAAAATAAAGTTTGGGCTCCGTTGTGATCATAAATTGAAGACCACCTGTAGCTTTTATTTTTCTAAAATGAAACCTATTTAGAAAAAAGGGAGAGGAATTCACCTAAATAACTAAGCAACAAAGTTGCTGATCCTGATTACCAACATTGAGAAAGAACTACCTGTACATTCTTCATTTATTTTTGCAAAGTTCCTTTGAAAATAATCTAAACAGATGGCAATGTATGCCGTAACATTTTCATATCATTTTATTAATATAATCTTATTATCAATCAGTGTCACTTGAAAAATAATTCTAAACAGTTTATCTATTTGACCATTTTTATTGCCCATGTCTATTTATAGATTATCCATGAATCCAAATCTTTTCTGAGTAAATAAGTGTCATGACAAAGCTCAAGAAGATACAATAACCCATTGGGTGACCTTGAAAGGTCAAAAACAGATATAAGCCTCTCTGAAACTGCTATTCAGAGTACAAATAGAAAAAAAGCCCTGTCTGAGAGTCAAGGAAATTGAGTTAACTCTTGATCAATGCTAAGATGTTTGTAAAAAAGGGAAGAAGCATTATGTGTTGTCCTAAATGTAATGCAGAGATGAACTATGAAGAGAGGAGGCACCTGGATGAAGGATTATTGTGTTTCTAAAGAGAAAAAGAAATATCCCAAAGTAATACCAATACTTTCCCCTCTGAGCATGCCAATTATTAAGAACATTCCAGATGGAATTTTAAGATGCTTATTTCACTACTAAGGTCTTTCATAGCATCTGGCCTGGTTATTTGAGGATCCACCTATGTTCCATAGTTATTGCCAACTGTACCTAATTGGTCAGTTAGTCAGCATTAATTAAGCTTTAATTAATGATATATGACTATCACTTTGTTCATATCATAGATCTACATGATATATGATAAGTTATACATCATATAGATCTATCATTATGACCTATCACTTTGTTGTGTGTACAGAGAGCTTATGCACCCAAGACAAATTCCTTGGCCAATAAACTGTTCTGTTCTACCCTACCCTATCCTATTCTACTCTTCTCATTCCACCCCATTCCATTCTATAATAATTCCTACTCTGAGACTCTTATTTACCATGGAGATAAGCAGTGAATGACATCATGCAGGGACCAGTAGGGATGGTGATGGGTAAGGTTAAAGATAAACACTTTAACTAAATGCTTTATGAGTGAATTAGAAAAAGGGATTCAGCATTCATTGATTTAGCCCAGCAGCTTTTCTGTGTTCAGCATGACTGGAAGAATGGATGTAAGGACTGAAATTCTGATGATGTCCTATTACTGTAGTAAACTTTGCCTCATAAGCTTTGAGGCTGATACAATGCAGGAATTGAAACTTTCTAAAGGAGATGCTTGGCCTCCAACCTTCATATCAACAAATTATATACACAGAATCATAAAATCATTTAATTGTACAATTGGAAAAGGATACACACAGAAAAATGGAAACATCAGAGACATAGTCTTTACTCTCTGATAAATTCGATTGAGCTCCATGTAACAGAGAGAGAGATTGCCAGATTCTAGGTCAAGTGGAAAGCTGTAGACTTAACAAGGATCTGAGGAAATAATCCATATCCTTTCCAGAGGTAGAAGTGGCAATCTTTGTGGGAGGGGCTGAGGACTGGAGAATGGATGAATATCATTGTTTGCCTTACACATTGCCTACTGATTGGTATAATTTAAGGTGCCTATTTTACCTTTTTTTAGGTTTTTGGATATGCCATCCTCAATCTATGCCCATTCAATCAGTGACTGTAGTTACAATGGTGTGTGACAAAAGGTGGTTATGATGTGTCTTTAGAGTCCCGGCCCTCCCAATGCTTACAACCAGTTGCCAAGTGCCCTTTGATCACATAGTCACCTTTTGCAAGCTTCCCAGCCAGCTTCCCCAGAATGTCAATGGGGAAGCTAGCAGAGAAGGTTGAATGTCACTGGGATAAGTCTCCCTCACCTATGCATCATTCCCCAGACCCTCTGTGCTCACATCATGCCAGCCACTTGCACAGGACTATACATTCTCCTTGACCTGCACAGCACCTCTTTACAATCTCCCTGACCCTCCCTCCCTTATGTACCCTCTATGACTGTTACATGTGAACCCTCCCTGACTCACACTGTGCTTCTTGTGCATCCTCCCCAACTCCTGCACCAAACGCTTGCCCAACCCACAATGAGCCTAATGCATACCTCCTTATACTCACTCACTTTTCAATCTGTGCAGAAACTCTTGTATACCCTCCCTGACTTCCTCCACACCTCTTCATGTCCTCCCCCACCCAGCAGCAGTCATTTGCTTACCTAGGGGCCTGGGACTTGCAACTTCCTGCCAGATTCCCCATTGACGTTGGTTGTGGAAAGCCAGCAGGAAGTTGCTTTGCCTAACAACTGTGGGATTCAGTTAACAATGACAATCAGGAATACAGGGATTGCCATCCCTAAGCAATACAAAAAGTCAACAATCTTTACTTTTTGTTTTAGAAAATGTGCTATACACTATATTTTTCAATTTAAAACAGACATAATTATTGTACTCTAGCAGCAGGAGGTACAGTGATACAAATCTGATGTGAGACTGTGAGAATTCTGTGAGAGAAGCAGAAAAGTGACACTTAAATTATTTCAGTGAATAGCGGGAAGCACTCGAGTATATAAAAGAGAAAAGGAAAGTATAAATTTGCAGAGGCTAAAAGCAAGAGGTTTAGACATTGGCATATCATAAAAGCTACATACAGAACCTGAAGGATCAGAAAGGTGACACATGAGATGTGAAATGACATAATTCTCGCAACCAGACAAGAGCTCCTCTTGACAAGATGTCAAGAGGGGAAAACAGACCTTTCTAAACAAACAAGATGCTACATACATTTGGTGATCATTCATATAAAATTGTATTCTTATATTTATCTTTGTTTTTTAATATCTTGAAACATTCTCTGTGATTTATCTGTTGATTCATAATGTTTTGAAAATCATTTGCATTACATTTATAATTTGCGTAATATATTTATTCTATTCTTAGATTAGTTTTTCCTAATATTTTAAAGAATAAAGCCTTCCCTCACTACAGTATTGAATAACTCCATAAGATCTAATTCCATATATCAAGATTTAACCAACTGATTGTTAGGCAGCCAATTTAATTAACATCAGCAGCAATTTAACTTTTATTGTTGAGTAAGTCATTGAAACAGAGACTGCTTTGAGAAGACTGATCTCCAAATCAATGGCTAAGTTAGAAGTGTAAGATTTTGCATCTATATATTTACCAACTATGCCTTAACCACTACATCAAGCTGGTTCTCAATATATATTAGATATAGTAATGTGTGTGTTTGTGTGTATGTGTGAGAGAGATTCCCTGTTGGCTGGAGTTTTTTCTCTCATTGTAATGAGAATTGTATGGATCCTTGCTCAATCCAGTTAATAAAAACTGCTTAAACTAGTAATCTATAAAAGAAAGTTTATAAAGTTGGGCAATATACATTTGAAATGGAGGAGAGATGGAAACTGCCAAGATGATCAGTATTCCAGAACAATTGTTTCATATTTCATGTAAGCAATATTCCAGTATTTGAGGAGCTGCCACAAAGAAAAGGGGGTCAAATTATTTTGCAAAGCATCAGAAGGCAAGACAAGAAACAATGGATGGAAACTAATCAAGGACAGAAGCAATCTGGAATTAAGGAGAAATTTCCCAAGAGTGAGGACAATTAACCAGTGGAACAGCTTGCCTTCAGACATTATAGGGGCTTCATCACTGGAAGTTTTTAAGAACAGACTAGACAGCCACCTACCTGAAATGTTATAGGATCTCCTGCTTGAGCAGGGGGTTGGACTAGAAGACATCCAAGGTCCCTTCCAGTTCTATTCTGATTGATAGCAATAACAATAGCACTTAGGCTTACCGTATATACTGCTTCACAGTGCTTTACAGCTCTAAGTGGTTTATAAAGTCAGCATATTGCCCTCAACAATCTGGGTCATTAAATCGACCTCGGAAAGATGGAAGGATGAGTCAACCTTGAGCCAGTGAGAATCGAACTGCCAAACTGCAGGCAGCCAGCAGTCAGCAGAAGTAGCCTGCAGTACGCCACCATGGCTCTGGGTTGATTGATTAATGGTGAGAGAAGATTATGAAAGGGGCTAAAAATGGTATTTGCTTTGTTCTCCTTTAATTTTTTAACTTCTGCTGCTTTTTCTCAGGTAGTTGGATCAATATATTAATTGCAGGCTCCAAAGAAACAAGAATAAGATATATTTATATATTGAGGGTATGGAAATAAATTAGCATTTACGGGTAATCCTTGACTTATAATTACAATTGGATCTGGAACGTTCATTGCTAAGTTGTTAAGTAAGTCTCGCCCAAATTTTTGGTGAGGCAGTTAAGCAAATCATATGGTTGTTGAAACCAGCTAGGAAAGTCACAAATTGCAATCATATGATCCTGGGACACTGCAACCATCATAAATACATGCCAGTTGCCAAGCACCCAAATTTTGATCATGTGACCATAGGCAGGCTGAAACAGTTGTAAGTGCAAGGACCAGTTATAAGTGACTTTTTTCAGCACCATTGTAACTGTGGACTGTCACTAAATGAATGATTTTAAGTAGAGGACCACCTATACGTATCAATGCCCAGGATCAAGTTTCTATAAGAAATATACACTTTTGGGAATGTACTAAGACCTTGTCAATGATAAAATAATAAGTTGTTACTACACATTTTAAAATATTTGCCTATCTCCTAAATACAAAGCAATTCTATCTTGCCTCTGTAATGATACTGCTACTTACCATATTTTCCCCAAAATAAGACCCGGTCTTATATATTTTTTTACCTCCAAAAGAGGCAGTTGGTCTTATTTTGGGGAAATATCTTATTTTTTTCCCTAACACCTGCCTCGCCTCGTGGCGGTGGCACCAACAGCCCTGTCCAGCAGGACCCACATGGCCACCAGCCCATGAGACAAGGCAGGTGAGGAAGGGGATGGAGCTGCTTCAAGCACTCCATAGGCACCCAAACACTTTTCGCCCAGAGGGTGACTGGAAGCTTAGTCTGCTTGCAAATGGGGTGCTTAGAAACCGAGCAATTCGCTCTGTCTCCAAGCGCCCCATTTGCAAGCGATGAAGCTTCCAATCTCCATCATTTCTCTGTCTGTGCAAAAAGTGTTTGGGCATCTATAGGATGCTTAGAAACCCAGTACACAAGAACTTTTCACCTGGACGGAGAAATGACAGAGACTAGAAGCTTCTTCTGCTTGCAAATGGGGCGCCTGGAGATGGAGCATATTGCTCAGTTTCTAATGCCCCATTCACAAGCAGATGAAGCTTCCAGTCTCCCTCTGGGCAAAAAGTGCATGGCGCATCCAGATCACCTGCCTTCCCCTGCCTCTGCCTCTGCACTCAGACTTACCTGCGCTACGCCAAGCGGCTGACGGGCTCTGGCTGCTGCCAGACACCATTGGTCCCCACATGCTTGCCCCTACTTGTGCTGGCCATGCCTACCCCCTGGGCTTATTTTTGGGATAGGGCTTATATTAGGCCCACCCCAAAAAATCAGGCTAGGGCTTATTTTCAGGGTGGGTCTTATTTTCAGGAAAACACAGTAGCAATTTAAAAAAAATCTATGATTGGTAGTGAGATGAAATATCTGAAAGCAGGAAATACTTCTCATTTCTTTCAAATATTTGCTGCAATTTCCACCAAATATTTTCCTTTGGGGAAATAATTTCTACCTCCTTCTGATAAATGACTCAAAACTCTTTAATTATTTTTTGATGATTGCTTAATTATTATCAGGAATGGGCTTTGTTATCAACTTACCTTCAGGTAAAGGACTTGGTTTATGACAATAAGCAGAGCTTTTCCTACTGCTTTCAATGTTGACAAACAGGCTGGACTGAATTTTTCTGTGTATCTTTTGGGAAACAGGTGCAGAAAATGTTTGGTTATCTAGCGCATCAACTTTGACTCCACTGCAAAATCCGCTTTCACTATTCAGACCTCTGGGACTACTTTGTTTTTTGCTGGTTCCTTCCTTATACTTGTCAAGCGGCAAAGCATTTGTCTGAGGCAAACGCTGAGGTTGTGCTTTAAAAATATATCAAAAAAGAAAGAATTAGAGCAGTTAATTGCTGTAATGATGCCTATTTAAACAAAGTTTTCCAACGTTCAGTCAGGTTTACATAACTATAACCTGGAACACTGGTAAAGAGCCTGCTGACTATGAAAGTTCATCAGATTAAAAATACTGATTGCAATTGATTTAGATTATTATAGGCTTTCTTATAAGTGATATTATCTTTGATTATAAAACCATATTATACAGGACTGATAAGTATTAAGTGTCTGTTAATATTTGATTACTAATTGACAATCTGAATATACTGTATATTCAAAAAACTTGAAATCACTGTAGCAGTGTTACTGAATGCAGAAAAAATATTTAATATAGTGCAGTGAAAAATTCAGGAACAAGCTTTCTCTAAATATGTATTTCTTCTATCTTAATAGGATTAGTATGTCTAGTATATTTTCTGTTGGAGTTACTACAAATGGAATTTTCATCTATAAGGAGTATCCAGGACTCATCCAGGAAGTTCCTCAAATCTTCTTATTTTTAATTTGATATTGGAGCAAATGGTCTACCATATTACACAAATATATTTAGATATAATACTGGCTGGAGTTTGAGATAAATTGCTACTATATATCAATGATGATATTCCAATTTTCAGTTGTGTGGACTTCAACGCCAAAAAATCCCCCGGTTAATTCATTCCACACATTTTAAATTGCCATGTTTGAGAAACACTGCTTTAAACACTAACTATGGATTTAATTTTGATCTACCAGTGAAACCATGGTAAGAGATTTACTTATTTACTGTAAGAAATTAATACTGTAAGGACAAAGATAGGCAAGAATTAGAAATCTCAAAGGAGACAAATATTTTTTCACAGAATTCTTAATTTCTTAAGAGATTCAAATGGATCTTCCACATTAAAAAATAATTCAACCTGGAACCTTACTATCACAAAATGCATTTAGAAATTTGGCCACTAATATGTGGGTTAAAAGTTAATAATTTATTTGGTCATTATTTGTCAAACCTTTGCTTATATTTTCCCATTATTTTTATTTTTATCCTCATCTTTTATTTACTCAAGAGAAAGCAATAAATAGAATCCTGAATCTCCTAAAGTGGTAGATAGAGACCATTAGGAAAATGAGGTGCACAAAGCTGAGCATACTAGCTAGAGTCAGTTGACTTATTAGCATAAGTCAAGGAAGACACTAGTCAAACATGAATTTGTCAACTATCCTCAAAGTGAATTGAAACATGTTCAAGTAATTGCATTTAATTAAAAGGTAAAATGAGTTTTCCTTATGTTCAGATGTAAAACTAAGGCACAATGGATATAAATGACTGTATAAATCCTGAGAAACTCAATGTAATCTATACAGATAATTCTATATGTTCATGTTCATATCTGCAATAATTTATTTATAATCCTATCATATTCCACTATATGGTATAGGGCAAATCAGAAAGTGATGTATCTTTATCATCACTATGAAATAGTTGTTCAAACAGAATCTAAGCTACATTCAGTAGGAGTCATCGTACATTGTAATCATACATAGCTGCCCATTAACAGCAGTAGCTGCGGAAACCACAAAGGTACTATACAAAGTCAAAAAAATTCTCCATGGCCAACAAGAAGGCTTGCTATATCTGCAGAAAATTCTCAAACACAGCTTCCTGTGTGAGCAGATCAGTGGTTCTCAACCTTTTTAATGCCGTGACCCCCAACCGGTCGTAAGTCGAGGACTAAACCGGTCGTAAGTCGAGGACTACCCAACCAGTCGTAAGTTGAGGACTACCCAACCGGTCGTAAGTCGAGGACTTTCCCTGCCCGGGAGTGCCGTGCATGCGTGGTTCTGCCCCCTGCGCCGGCTGAGGTGTAGCTGGCAAGCGGCAGAGACGGAGCAGGCCGACCACCAGCTGGCCCAGCCCAAGGGAGGTAAGGCACCCGCCGGAAAAGGGGAAAAAAATGGCGGACAGCCTTGCTTGGCGACCCCCGTGAAATGGTCGATCGACCCCAAATGGGGTCCCGACCCATAGGTTGAGAACCGCTGGAGTAGATAATATGATCCCACTCTTGTATACAATTCTCAAATATCATAATTCCAAATGACATCAGAAAAGGATATATCTAAAATGAAGTACACTCGCTTAATGACTGCTCACATAGTTGACTGGCCAAAGTTATAACAAACCCCCAAGAGGCCTGGCTTTCCAAAGACGGCTTCCCTCACATGACCATATTTTGGAGGCTTGGCAACTGGCTTGTCTTTATGGTCGATTGCAGTATTTTTAAGTCACATGACATGATTTATTATGTTTTTTGCTGGAAAGCAGCATTTCAAGAAACGCCCACAGGAATGCATTGACTCACTTAACGACCAAAGCATTTACTTTATAACCAGGGTGTTCGCTTAATGACCACTATAAAAAGGTCATAAAATTCAGTTGGTGTTACTGTTGGCTGGCACGCAAACCCTGCTCACAACCAGACATCAACAACGGGAGGGGGGAAGGAAGGCATTGGAATGCAAGGGGGGCATTGGAGAAGGAATGTAAGTGTGCCAACTTGAAGCCTGAGATAGATCCAGCTCCCCAAGGTCATCGGCTGGGAATGTCCGAGGCGGCATTCCATTTCCAAAACAATGCAAAATGATTGGCTAGACCAGGGCTTTTCAACCGGTGGTATGCGTACCACTTGTAGTACATTAATGAGTGGCAGGTGGTACGCAGCCCTGCCTAGCCAAATGTAGTGGGGGAGGGAAAGAACCAGCACAGGCAAGGACTTACTGTGAGAGAGTCCCCTGGAGCTGCAGAGTGGCTGAGACGAGGCAAAGGCCCCAGGCTAACTTCTGGCTCACCCTCCCCCATGAGAAAGGAGGAGGAGGGGGTGGAGACAGGAGAGGCTATAAAAGGAGGCAGTTTGGGCAGGAGAGGGGGAGAGAGAGAAAAAGAAGCAGCCTTGGGAGGAGGCGGAGTCAGCTCTAGCTGCACCGAAGGGAAAGAAGAAGGAGGAAGAGGAGGAGGAGGAGGAGGAGGAGGGTGGGGGGAGAGGAGATCAAGCAGGCCGGCCATGAGCCAATCTACAACTGCTGTGGCAGCCGCCTGTGCTGGCAGCAGCACACAGGCAAGAAATGCAGTGGGGGAGGGGTCACCCTCCAAGAGGAATGAAAAAAGGCAGCAATGGCTGGAGGTGAGGCACGGGGGGGGGGGGGGAGGGGGGGGGGGGGGNAGGGAGGGAGGGAGATAGAGAGTGGAAGGATTCTTATGTGCTTTTGTGACTTTGAAGTTCTGGGATTTGTGCAATGAGGGCTTTGTGTTCTTAAGGAGTGCTTGTCAATTTCTATTTGGCTGATGGCTGATGTCTCGTGTTAGCTTCTATTGCTCTGCTATTGTTAGCTGTAAGTTTTGCTGCAAGGGATTTTGAAGTATTTTTCTCCTGAATGGATTTTGCCTGTAGCATTCCTTTACTTATAAATGGAGCCATTTGGGGAGGCTGCCTTAGCCAGCAGCCAAAACTTACTACATTTTTTTTCTTCTTTAAGTGCCGGCTGCGCTCAACTTTCCTTTCTAGCCAGTAGCTAATTCTTAAAGGGGAATGTGCCTTTTTAAGCTTGTTCACTCAGCAGTTTGTCTTTTCTGTCACTGGAAGCTTTTCCTTGTTTGATGAATATATGGAAGAGAGAAAATATGGGGGGGGGGGTTCAAATTCTTCCTTCAGAAGGAGGTGGGCATGAGAAAGAGGAAGGGAGGGAAGGAGGGAGGGAAGTCCCACCTTAGCACTTGGCTACCAGCAGCTCTGCCATTGACTTTGCTTGTCAAAAGGTTGCAAAAGGGGATCACATGACCCTGGGACACTATGACCATCATAAATATGAATCAGTTGCCAAGCATCCAAATATAAATCACATGACCCTGGACATGCTGCAATGGTCATAAGTGTGAAAAATGGTCATAAGTCATTTCAGTGCAATTGCAACTTTGAACAGGTTTTGTTTTTTTGGTCATCACATTTTTGACACCTTGCTAGGTGGTACTCAAATATTGCCATATCCTAAAAGTGGTACAATCGGTGAAAAGGTTGAAAAGCCCTGGGCTAGACAATGGGAGGACCAGAGAAAATGTCCTATGCTGTTTGCACGTGCCAAGAAGTATCAGGAGACAGTGGTGTAATAATGTGTGTATGTGTTTGTTTTCTTGTAGGATCAATCTTCTTTCCTAAGGGTTGGCATGCTTGCAACCAGACATCAACAACAGGAGGGGGGAAGGAAGGCACTGGAATGCAAAGAAGGTAAAGGAATGCAAATGTGCTGACTTGAAGCCTGAGACAGATCATTTCCCCAAGGTCATCGGCTTGGAAAGTCCCAGGTGGAGAGGCGTTCCCAAAACAATGTGAGTGTAACCGATTGGCAAGAAAATGGACAGTGGGAAGACCAGGGGAATGGGGAAATTTTCCTATGCTATTTGTGCATGAAAATGTTAGAGTTGGCTTTTCCACTTCTGTACCCACATGGAATGTTCAGTAAAGTTTTACTCTTGGTAAAAGAAGTCCTAGGAATCTCCTTTGCTCTCTCAACCAGTGGGATGGTTGACAATTGGTGACATAGGTGCCTTGGCTTATAACCATCATGACTTACAGTGGAAATTGCATGCTCCATTACAGTTGTAACTCAAGAAATACTTGTGATTGATATTTCTGCCAATCATAAATGTCATTTCTAACACAAAGCACCAAAGTGAGACAACTTACAAAATGAGGGTGGAGACAACTTACAAAATCTCCGAGATTGTGGGTTGGTTTCTGAATGTTTCATTATCAGGCTAGGTAACATCTTCATTGGAGTTTAGGGGATGTCATTGTCGGTGTTCTGCTTATAAGGGCTTCATGTGGACAGTGGGTCTTGTGATGGGCAGGTCACATCAGGTGAGGCGAGACTCTCACCTGATATGATCTCCCCATCACAAGACCCATTGTCCACACAAAGCCTTTATAAGCAGAAGAACACTGACACTGCCATCCCTAAACTCCAATGAAGATGTTATCTAGTAACAAAATATCCAGAAACCAATACACAAGCTTAGAAAACAAACCTACATCCTCATCCTACACCCAAGCTACAGATATTCACCACTATTGCAGACTTACAGAATGTCTTGTCTTGTCTTGTCTTGTCTAACTATATTAGAACAGATGGTTTTCATGGCTGGCCAAGAAATCCAGAGCAATGTGTTGATGGAGGTTACTTGGAATGATACCCAAAAATCATTGAGAATCTTCAACATCAACTCAAATCTTCCTCCATAATGCAGCATATTAACCATTAATTTTGCAAATTATTTACAATGGGAAGTTTTCCAGAGAGTTGTTGAAAGATGACTACTATTATAGGTTTCAGGATGCTTGAAAACAAGCTACAACCAAAGTTAAAAAATTAAAATTGTTTAATAATTGCCTTAAAGTATAATGATGCAAGTTCAGGGAAAATATAAAGGTGAAATGCACTGAAAATTATTTGACAAATATTTTTTGTCAATAGGGAAACTCATCAAAGGAGCTTATATATTAATACTGTTTTTGAAGCATAAATTTATGAACAGAAGGAAACCTTAGGTATTGAAATCTAATAATCTACTTTCTATAGGAGACGCATACATTAAAACATTTATCCTAATTCTCATAAGGTGAAAAAAACCCAATCACCTTCAGTTCTAATGTATACAGGCAATCCAAAATCATTCACTCACCAAAAACATAATTCTCATTTGTAAAAGCACCTTATCTAAAATATTTTTGCATAAAATAAAATAAAAATATTTGTCAAAGTAGTCAGATATGTCTAATGGTCTTCCCAGGAGGATGAAATGCCTCTAGGCAGAAAAACAGTAGTTCTGCCAAAAAAAAAAAAACAAAAAAACCTGGTTCCTTCGGTTAATTTAGGTGTGTTGGCAAACTTTGTATGTGGGCAGACAAGCTATTTAAAAGGGAACAAATGTTCTCTTGTGATCTTTCTTATTTGCAAGACTGATAGCTAATAATTTAATTCAAATTCTAAAGACACAACAGGAAAGCCTCATTCATTCACGGAATGATAAATTTCCATCAAGCATCTTCAGTGAATAGAAGTATACTGGCAATTCACAAACAAAAGAAAATCTCCAAAAATATGACCCCATTTGCATGGATAGGTAGAAACAACTTAATCAATCACAAGCTCAGATTAGAACTTAACATTTATTTTCCTATGAAGAGTAACTTGATCTAGTTCCATTTTCATCCTAAGTCAGTACTGATAAAAGTGTAAATATTTCCTGAATATGCAAGTATCTTATCATTTAGTAGTCTAACACAGGGCTTTTCAACCTTTTCACCCATTGCACCGCTCTTATGATATGGCAATATCCGAGTACCACCAGTCGCCTAGCAAGGTGTCAAAAACTTGATGACCCCCCCCAAAAAGGAAAAAAGTGATAAAAGTACAGGTAGTCCTTGACTTACAACAGTTCGCTTAGTGACATTTCGAAGTTACAATGGCACTG